CTTATTCCTTCCAAACCCAACACCTCCTCCAGTAGTTTGCTTTCAGAATCTCTACCTGAGTTAGAATGGATTTTGGCAGGGAAGCCAGCTATAGAATAATACTCTTCCCAAAGCACTTTAGCAGCTCCAGATGCTTTCTGCTTCCCAACTGTGCATATTGGGTAAAATGATTTGTCACTTTACTGCTTTCCTACCTCTTTCCAAAAGCAAAAAAGTCTATCTATCCAAGCTCCAACAATTCACCAGGCCAAGTGCTTTCTTTTGACCCAGATGCCCAAAGTCATAATGTGGTATGTTCATGGACATATTTCCTCTATCAGAAATACTTAATTCTCACAATCAATCAATAAGCATTTATTAAGCTGTATGCCAGGCATATATATTATATGCCAGGCACTGTACTATGTGCTGGGATACAAAAAGAGGCAAAAGACAGTCCCTGCCCTCAAGGATCTTATAGTCTAATGGGGGAAACAACCTGCAAACAAATATATACAAAGCAAGCTTTATATAGGATAAATTGGAGATAATTTACAGAGGGAAGGCACTGAAATTAAGAGGGGTTGGGAAAGGCTTCCTATAGATTTTAGTTGGGACTAAAAGGAAGCCAAGGAGATCAATAGTTGGAACTTAGGAGGGAGGGCATTCTAAGCATTCCACCGAGAGAAAATGCCTAGAGCCAAGACATGGAGTGTCTTGAATGTAGAACAGCCAGGGGCTCAGTGTTACAGGATATGTCAATGAGTAAGGTGTGAGAATGGAAAGGTGGAAGGAGACTAGGTTGTGGAGGGCTTTGAATGCCAAACAGAGAATTTTGTATTTGATCCTATAAGCAATAGGAAGCCACTGGAGTTTATTGAGTTGGGGGCAGATGGTTACATGATTGGACCTATGCTTTAGGAATATCGCTTTAGTGACTTAATGGAGGGTGGATTGGCATGGGGAGAGACCTGAGGTAGGCAGACCCACCAGCAGGCTATTACAGTAATCCAGGAGTGAGGTGCTGAGAGCCTTTACTAGAGTGGTGGCTGTGCCAGAGGAGAGAAGGAGACATATATAGGAAAGATGTTGCAAAGGTGAAATCTAAAGGCCTTGGCAACAGCTTGGACATGGGGGGTGAGAGATAGTGAGGAATCCAAGATGGCTCCTAGGTTTTGAGCCTGAGGGGCTGGGAAGATGATGTTACCCTCTACAATAATAGGGAAGAATGGAGTTAGGAGTTACAGTTTAGGAGGAAATAAAATGAGTTCTGTTTTGGCCATATTGAGTTTAAGATGTTTACTGGACATCTAGTTCAAAATATTTGAAAGGCATTTGGAGATGTGAGATTGGAGGTCAGGAGAGAGTTTGGGGCAGGATAGGTAGGTTTGCAAATTATTAGCATAGAGATGGTAATTAAATCCACTGGAGCTGGTAAGATCACCAAATGAAGTATTATAGAGGGAGAGGAGAATAGGGCCCAGGATAGAATCCTTAAGGGATATCTATAGTTAGAGGGCATGATCTGAAAGAGGATCCAGCAAAGGAGATGGTGGAGGAACCATGAACTAGGTAGGAGGAGAAGCAGGAGACAGCAGTGTTCTTAAAACCTAGAGAGAAGAAAGTACAGTTATCCCTTCCACACCGTCAGGGGGTAGGGGCACAGCACCCCTGCGATCTGGAAAATCTGAGGAAAATTTTTTGGCCCTCCCTTTCTACCAGGGAAGTCGTCTGAATTTTTCCTTTTTATTTTATGCTTTACAGTACCATACTGTAAAACTTGGGTTGACATTATACAATACTATATGTATATTTTATACATTTCTGAGTTTCTGAACTTTTTCTGTGCTGTCTGCTGGCCTTCGCGTGTCATCATTTGTCATCTGCAAAACTCCCCCAAAATTCCCATTTAATTTTTTATGGCTATCTTTGATATATGGAAACAGCAATGGGGAAAGTCACAATGTGGAAGGGATAACTGTATCAAGGAGGAGAGAGTGATCAACAATGTTAAAGGCTGAAGAGAGGTCGAGGAGAATGAGGATTGAGCAAAGGCCATTAGATTAGGCAATTAAGAAATCATTAGTAACTTTGGAGAGCAGATTTGGTAGAATGATCAGGTCAGAAGCCAGACTGTGAAGGGTTTAACAACAACCCTTCTGGGGAGGTACTGTTATTGCCTACTGTCCCCATTTTACAGATGAGGAAACAAGGCAAGCAGGAATGTTCTGCCCAAGGTCACACAGCCAATAAGTGTCTGCGAATGGATTTGAACTCAGATCTTCTAGACTAGAGCTAACGCTCTATCAATACACTGTGTAACCCAGCTTTGTTGCAGCCTGCAGCATGTTTTTGTAAGGCTTGGGAACTAAGAATGGTGTTTTTTTTTTAAATACAATAAAATACAATTTAAAAAATATAATACATTTAAAAATACAATAAAACTTTATTTTAAAATATAAAAATAATATAATAATATTGTTGTTCTTCAGTCATTTCAGTTGTTGCTGACTCTTTGTGACCCCATTTGGGATTTTCTTGACAGAGATACTGGAGTAGATTGTCATTTCCTTTTCTAGCTCATTTTACAGATGAGAAAACTGAGGCAAACAGGGTTAAGTGACTTGCCCAGGGTCACACAGCAAGTAAGTATCTGAGACTGAATTTTAACTCAGGTCTTCCTGACTCCAGGCCCAGTGCTCTATCCACTGCACCACCTACCTGCCTTCATAATATAATAAAATGTAAAAACTATTCTTACCTTGGGATGTATCAAATGTAGCATAAGCCTATATTTGGCCTTCTGCCTATAGTTGCTGACCCCTGCACTACACCATGTTTCCCTTCATATGGTATCTTAATAATTCCTTCAAAATGAAATAGAATAAGATGGAGGGGGAACACACAGTGGCATAGGGAGGAGAAGTAAGAGAAGGACATAGGAGCAAAAAGGATGTTTTTTGTTGTATTTTATTAAAGTCAATATTTGTTTCAGAGGTTGCCATAGTTAAAAAATTCCATCACTGTAAGTGACTTACTTTTCTGTAGTCAGGTTGGTTTGTCATCAAAGAAGAATCAGCAACACTTACAAATGATAACTCACTATCAAAATAAGCTCTTGCAGGCAGTTTAGGACAAGTGGGTGACTGGGAATGCCTTTTCCTAAGAATGTAAATCTGAAAGCGACAAGAGAAGAAGCCCAGAAGTGAGAAAGGATGTAGCAAATTATGTAGTATTAGTGGTGGTAAGGAAGGAGGTGGCAGGTGGATAAGTTACCACAAAATCCTCTGTAGTGATTACTACCAAAATATTATTTTATTTTTTGTTTGTCTTTTTAAAAAAATTATCTTTTGTTTGTATGTCACCTTTACTTCCAAATATATCCCTCCCAATTCCTACCCCTACAGCCCCCAAACAAAAGAATTTAGAAAGCAGTCTAGCAAATTTAATTAATATGTCGACCAATTTTGACAATATTCCACACCCATAACCTCCTGCCTCTGCAAAGAAGGGAGAGAACTATTTTTTCAAATCCCTTCTCAGCCAGACTTGGTCCTTATGGTTACACAGTATTCAGTTTCTTTGTTGCTTTTCATTTTTAAAATTTGGTGGTTATTTTTACCCTTTATATTGTTTTCTTTATTCTACTTCCTACCTTATGTAGCAGATCACATAGTATGCCTTTCTGTGCTTCTCTGAAGACTTTATATTCATTGTTTATTAGGATAGGAATAGGGACTGAACCTGTGATTTCACTGATGAAGGGAAGTTGAAGAAACTCTATTTCTTCATGCATTTTGGTACCTTCTCTGTGATTCTAATCACAGAGAGTTACCTAAAGTATTGATAGAGCAGTGATAGGCAAATTGCTTGCCCAGGGCCACATATTATATATCAGAATGTAAAGGGATTGAAAGTAGGACTTCTTGGCTCCAAAGGTAGATTTCTACCCATTATAACAGCCTGCCTCTTATAATACAGAAATAAGCATTACCTTTGTGTAGAAAAATGTCTTTACCCATCCCTTAATCTATGGGCATCGACTTTGTTCTCAATTCTTTGCTATTACAAAAGTGCTGCTGTAAATATTTTGATGTATTTGAGACCCAGAAAAGTCACTTTCAATAGGCTTTCAAAATGTCTAAGGAGTTAGAGGAAATAATGACCTTTTGTAGGATGACTAGGTGGTATAGTGGAAAGAGTGCTGAGCCTGAAATCAGGAAGACTCATCTTCCTCAAATCTGGTCTGAGACACCTACTGTGTGATCCTTGGCAAATCACTTAACCCTGTTTGCTTCAATTCTTCGTCTGTAAAATGATCAGGAGAAGGAAATGGCAAACCACTCCAGTATTTCTGCTAAGAAAAACCCAAGTAGGGTCCTGAGGAGTTGGATATGAGTGAAAAATAACTGAACAACAACAAAATGACTTTTTAAAAAATTACTTGTGTACATAGCAAAGTAATTTCAGAATTTCTGCCGAGTGGGTACAGAAAGCTAGAGTGAGAAGCACAAGAAACAGGGAACGCTAGACCCAGGCAGAGAAAAGTTCCGCTTTAGGTATGGTCTCAGCTGCAGTTACCCAACCTGTGGAGGGGAGTTAAAATGTAAGAGTCTTTAAACAAAAAGCTTTGAGTTGAACGTCTGCTTCATAGAATTGATGGTAGTATGAGGTGCCAATTCTGAGGCATTAGAGGACACCAGAGATGGGTCTATGAGGATTCTCATTATGAAAGGACTATGAGAAATAACTCTCACACATGACATGAAAATGAAACATTTGAGATATGGGCATGGCTGTTAGAAAGGCAGAGCAGAGAAATGTGGGTGGTGGATTTTATTATGGCGTATTCAAAGGCTCAACCTAAAAGATTGAAAGCACGTATCAAGTTCTCAGCCATGCCTGAGACCCAGATTTTAGCCTTGTGGTTTACCTCAAGCCGTCTAGTTGGTCAGTGGGGTCGCTTCATGTCGTGTGGTTGAGTTGCTCAGTCATTCTGCTTTGTACATTTTCTCTTCTAGATATGCTGGGGATTTATTGGATGAAGACATCTTTCATGAGAAGGATCTTGTCAACAGTCGTTCTTTGCAGGCTCTAGTGGCAGGACTGAAAGCATACAGTACCTGGGAAAACATAACCTGTTTACAGGATTGTCGGGAGTGCACTGGAGGCATGGTGAGTTGGAGAAATCAAGAAAAAGTTCTATTATTGGCCCTCAGAGGGAGTATTTTTTTCCTCTTTGGATTCTCATTATTGCTAAAAGTTTGTGGTTGTTGAATTGTCTCAGCTGTGTCTGACTATGACTCCATTTGGGGTTTTCTTGGCAGAGATACTGGGGTGGTTTGTCATTTCCTTCTACAGCTCATTTTACAGATAGGGAAACTAAGGCAAACAGGATTAAGTGATTTGCCCAGGGTCACATAGCTTGTAAGTGTCTGAGACTGGGTTTGAACTCAGGAAGATGAGTCTTCCGGACTCCAGGCCCAGCCCAGCACTCTATCCACTGTACCACCTGGCTGCCCTCATTGCTAAAGGTAGAATTTGGCTATTAGAATAGATATGTAGAATTCTGATGCTCTTAGCTTTGGTCTGTAACAATTAGAAATAAAATTAGAAAGAGTGCCATAGGTTCTTGGCGAAGGCAGAGAAACATGATCTTTGATTTTTGGCAAGTGGAGTCAGAAGCATTTTCAAAATACAATATAGAATTGATTCAAAACCCATTTTAATGAACCTGTGTTTAAGCATAAGATACTATTATCATCTTGTGAAAAGGGAGCTGTCATAAAACCAAGGGTATCCACACCTAGACAGTTATTTGGCTTAAATGAACAGAGCCCTTACAAATAATTTCCAATAATCTCCTTAAGTTATATGACTGGAGCCAAATGAAATTAGCTAGAATACACAGTGCTCTGGGTACCACCTTACCTCCACTCTTTGGCCCAAGTTCTCTGATGATGATGTTGAAGATTCATGGTGAAGCTTTCTATTTAAACATCAGCATATACAGCTATGTCTAGCAATATGGGTGTTCAAGATAAGCCACACAAAACTGCACCCAAGACAAGCAACCCTCAAGTCAACTTTGTCATTTATGGTGTGGAAATAGAACAAGAAGAAATTAAGAACAATTCAGTTGAGTAGGAGATAAACTCTGGGACATGGGTGATTGGAGGAGGAAAGACCCTGACACTGGCCCCCTTAGAAGGAAACCCTAGGATGCTGGGGAAGCTAATGACTGGAGTGATGGGGTTGGAATAAGGCAGGGCCTTACCAGGGAGGAACTCACCTGGTATGTAGTCTTTAGGGGAGCAAGTATGCCATCTGGTAGCTTCTTAATTGATCTGATTATTCTTGTTAACTAGGTGCTGAGTACAGTTGTTTCTATGCCACTGAAGGAGTGAAAGTTTTGTTAGAATTACACAGTCTTCTAAAATCATTAGTTTAAATTCTTGAACTCTCTAAATTTTGACATCTTGGGGAAAGGTCTGATTTTCTTGGCCTAATTTTGGTTCTGTCAGCAGACACAGTTACAGTATGTGTGTGTGTGTGTGTGTGTGTGTGTGTGTGTGTGTGTGTGTATTCCCTTATAGAACTATATGGAGCTAATTTAAGTATATATATATATATACATATATATACACACATATACACACACACATACCTGTATGCATATATAGTATATGTGTGTGTTATTCTAGTTTTACTGCTACACTAAAGTCCAATTCTAATGCCTCATTGTGATGTCAAGGTAATTATGTGTTCTTAAAGTCCATAACAGAGCATAAGTTTTGAAAGGCTCTATAAAACTAGAGAGGCTTCAAGTATGGATGTGTCCATAATGGGTCATCTAAATGCCTGTTATCTTCCAATACCAGCCTGGGTCATTTTTGAGAGGCTCATTACAGGGTTGGTGGGAGGGTTATGAATATTTCTGCCATAGCATTGCTTAGAAAACTTTTTACTGAGTCATAGAGGAACTGTGCTCTGCTTCTGTGGCTTCTTCCAAGTAAAATCTTAGGAGGATTGATGTAATTTTCACTAGCCCATCATCTACACATTGATCAGCTAGGACAAGGTCTCTAGACTCCCAGGGCTGGTTGGCGATATTGTAGGAAGAATGCAGCCCAGTGGGGCATAGTGGGAGAAGAAGATACAGGCAATGTCTTGTCCTGTACCCAGGAGTATACACATACACATACACACACACCAGGAGTGTGCCTGGAGATGCTCTGCTTGTACCAGAGCTGCCACAAATACCCTAAAGCCAGTGACACCTGATTTTACTGGCACCTCTGCCAAGGTACTTAAAGGAGCCAGATAAGGGATTCGCATGTAATGGATCAAACCAGACTATATGTGATAGTGAGAGAGTGAGGAAGGGGGCGTGTGTCCACAGGAGACCCCATGAGGTTTGAGGGGCCAATGAAGCTAGCTCCTGCCAGGTCCTAGAGCTTTCTGTCCTGCGTCTTCACTATGCTGACTAGGGGTATTCCAAGGTGCCTCTCTGGTTTGGGGTTGAAGTGCAACATGCACTAATAAGTCAATCAAAAGGCATTTATTAAATACCTATTATGTGCCAGACACCAAAACTGGAGGAGTAAGTAATCACTGTAGGAATAAACATTTAGTGGAAATTCACAGGAAATTGTAGTCTGGAATGGGCTGTTTGAATTGTGGCAGATGAACTTACTCTCAATCTTCTATCCCTGAATATGTCTCCCCAGTAGTAAGCATCATACATGTGTCACAGGTGAACATTTGCTCATCTCAGTTGCAAGACCTTGGTTGTCCTCTATGGTTTAGGAGAAAGAGATGAACTTAGAGTTAGAGAAGTCTTATTTGATTTCTGGCTCAGGTGTATGACCTTGGGGAAGGCACCTAACTTCTCTGGGTCCCAGTTGCCTCATTTATAAAATGAGGGGTTGGATTAGATGATTTCTGTGGTCTCTCCCAGCTCTAGATGTGTTCTTGTATGACCTTGCTTGACCACTTTACTATAGATGTATCACTTACTTACAAAAATTTCATTGGTTTCAAACAGGATTCATTGGATTCAGAAGTGCTGGATCTTTGCTCCTGTGATTCGTTGGTGTCATATTCACTGAATGATTCTAATAAACACAAACCTGAAAGGGTTGTCCTCACCCATGCTTATTTTCTCTTGCCCAGTGGAAAATACTTTGTAAGCATTTATAGTCAACACAGTCAATCTAATTCAACAGTCATTTATTAAGCACTTCTAATGGCCACAGCACCACAGATACAAAGACAGAAAAAAATGGTATTTGCCCTCAAGGAGCCTGGCCTACTGAGAGGATGCACCATTTACACAGAGATGAAAATACAAAGTCACATGATACCAGCATCTGTGAGCATGTTGTATCTGTATTATCTCCATTACTTATCAGGCAGAGCCTGACTCTTAGTAGTCACTTAATAAATGCTTATTATTTATTAATTGTTGGGCCCTAATAATTTGGGAGATCCACAAGGCTTCCCTTGCGGAGGTGGTCCCAGTGCCCACCTTGAAGGAAGCTCAGGCTTCTAAAAAATGGAGGAGCCAAAGAACTCACTCCAGGCATGGAGGAGCAACTAAGCAAAGGCACAGGGGGAATGAATTGTTGAGTTCAGAGAACAGCTAGAAAGAAGGCCAGTTTAACTGAAATAGTCTGTGAAAAAAAGGAATGTCAAATCAGCCTTAAAAAGATAGTAGAGAGCCAGACTGGAGCAGGTAGGTGGCACTGTGGGTAGAGTGTCAGGCCTGCAGTCAGAAAGACTCCTCCATGTGAGTTCAAATCCCTTCTCAGACACTCACTAACTGTGTGACCCTGTTGGCCTCAGTTTCCTCCTCTGTAAAATGAGCTGGAGAAGGAAATGGCAGACTACTCTAGTGTCTGTCAAGAAAACCCCACATGGGGTCATGAAGAGTTGGACATGACTGAAAAATGATTGAATAAAAGACAGCCAGATTGTGGAAGGCCATGTTATGTTTCTAACCTAATTTGGATTTACAGAAAGGTCATCATAAGAAAATAGTCATCTCTCCTACTACCTAGCACTATGCGTTGTACTTAATAGACAAAATAAATATTTCTTGAGCGAATGAACGATTGAGATTGCAAAATGAGGGGGAAAACAAGTCAGATGCTATACTATTTATGCAGAATCATGTCTGTGGAAGGTATGGTGAATAGGAGTGAGCAGCCTGGGTCTTTTGCTGAGTCATAACTGACTGAGGCAGGGAGCCAGCTAGCAGGGAAAGGAGTGCTTCACCACATATTACCCCTCCTCCAAAACCTGAGGTCTGTATACATAGTCATCTCACAAACACCCCTCTACCTTCATTGAGGGTACTCCCTACTTCTTCCCAACCCTCTCCCCTCAAGGATACCTATCACCCTGTTGTAACCTCTTTAGTCTTTTGAACCAGAAAATGGCCCTGGGAGGGAAGTGAATTCACTATAGGTTTCCCCAACTTCTCATTAATTCAATCAATCAATCAATCAATCAATCGGTATTGATTAAACACTTATTATTTGCTAGCTCTGTGGTAGGTTCTAGTGATATAAAGAAAAAAAACTAGCCCCTTTCACCAAGTAGCTTACATTCTACTGGGGACACCAAGTACACATACAAGTAAACCACCCTCCTGGGGTATCCCCTAATTTGAATTTGGAGGTTGGGTCCCCAAGGGGATGACTATTCTAAATTTAAGATACTTTGTAGGTTCACATTTTTAAAACTATAGCTTGAGAGACCCTTCCAGCATGTTTATTTTTTATAGTCAACCAAAAGTGCTCAAAGCAAAGGTTTGACCACTAGAAAGGCAGAGTGAAAAAAGATAATTTATTAAACGTCTCCCCATAAACCTAGGGGAGACTTTCCCTCGAGGTCACAGAATAGCAATGAGAAGAGTGAAAACACTGAGAGCATAGGCTTGTACACATTTGGTCAATGCAGCTCACACTTCTGGGCATTTGTCAGCGAATTTACACAGTATCAGTGGGAAGAGTGAACACAAAAGGAATTTACTAGTCAGGCACAAATGAAGAGACTACATTTAGCTAAGGTGATTCAGACCTCCCTTTCTTGTCTCTCCTTGTAGCATTACACTGTTCCTTCCTAGTGCAGGAGCTATTTGCTGAGTACATTGGGCCACCCAACCCTGT